TATGAATCTATCTATCTACCTACATCCCTACCTACATCCCTACCTACATCCCTACCTACATCCCTACCTACATCCCTACCTATCTATCCATCTATCTATCTATCTATCTTTCTTATCTTATCTATCTAATCTAATCTAATCTAATCTAAATCTAATCTAATCTAATCTAATCTAATCTAGTCTAATCTATCTATCTATCTATCCATCTATCTAATCTAATCTAATCTAATCTAATCTAATCTAATCCAATCTAATCTAATCTAATCTAATCTATCTATCTATCTATCTCTTTATATCTATCTATGTCTTTATATCTATCTATCTCTTTATATCTATCTATATCTTTATCTCTATCTATCTCTTGATATCTATCTATCTCTTTATATCTATCTATATCTATATCTATATCTATATCTATACCTATATCTATCTATCTATCTATCTATCTATGTATCTCTTTATATCTATCTATCTCTTTATATCTTTCTATCTCTTTATATCTATCTATCTCTTTATATCTATCTATCTCTTTGTATCTATCTATCTCTTGATATCTATCTATCTCTTTATATCTATCTATCTCTCTATCTATCTATCTCTTTATATCTATCTATCTCTTTATATCTGTCTATCTCTTTATATCCATCTATCTCTTTATATCTATCTATGTCTTGATGTCTTTCTATCTCTTGATATCTATCTATCTCTTTATCTGTATCTATCTCTTTATATCTATCTATCTCTTTATATCTATCTATATCTATCTATCTAATGATCTTTCGATCTATCGATCTATCGATCTTTCGATCTATCGATCTATCTCTCTCTATCTATCGATCTATCTATCTATCTATCTCTCTCTATCTATCTATATCTATATCTATCTATATCTATCTATATCTATCTATATCTATCTATCTCTATCTATCTCTATTTATCTCTACCTATCTATACCTATATCCATCTATCTATCTTTCTATCTATCTATCTATCTATATCTATCTATCTATATCTATCTATAACTATCTATATCTATCTATATCTATCTATATCTATCTATATCTATCTAAATCTATCTAAATCTATCTATATCTATCTATATCTATCTATATCTATCTATATCTATCTATATCTATCTATATCTATCTATATCTATCTATATCTACCTATATCTATCTATACCTTATCTATCTATATCTATCTATATCTATCTATATCTATCTATATCTATCTATCTATCTTTCTATCTATCTATCTATCTATATCTATGTCTTACTATCTTTCTAATCTATCTAACCAATCTTTCAAATTATCTTTCAAATTACCTATCTATCTATCTATCGATCTATCTAATCTAATCTAATCTAATCTAATCTAATCCTATTGTATCCTATCCTATCCTATCCTATCCTATCCTATCCTATCTATCCATCTATCTGTCTGCACATAAATATGGTGCACACAAATGCATTGTTGAAATGGTGACAAAATAGAATCACAAACACGCTGGTATGCAGTCAAAGATCAGAGAGTAGACGTATCAACCAACAAATCAATTGACTCAATCCACCAACAAATCAAGATACTAGTCAATCCATAATTCATGATGTGCCCGTTTCCTAGAGGCTCCTATTTGCCCCTACTGTATTTGCACCCGGCTTGTTTGGCACATTTTGGCATCCTGCCGGCATTGTTTGTTTCTATGGATGCAATGGATGCTGTTCATGCCAAGGAATGTTCCTGGTTTGGTGCCTTCCGTGTGCGGTACTTGGAAATCTTCGGTGACCTGCACCACTCCGCCAGACCTTTGGCGTTCCCAGGTGGCGAAAATCAGATGAAGATGGTGCCAGGCGTGTGTTAAGCTTGAGGAATCAAAGGTTGTGACCTGCATATTATAGATTCTTCAAAGTGTACACGAGGTTCTAGTATGATTTCCGATGATTTCAAAGTCCAACCCTTCCATTGTAGCTTGGCTCTGCTACAAGGGAGAAACATATAGCATTGTATAGCAAGTCGCATCAAGCACTGGAAGGAAGGCATCGCGTGCTCACATATCATCACTGATCACATCCATCATATCCTCACGGCGTCTATTGCACATTGCATGGATGGAAGCGCTTTACTGTTGAGGGGGTCCCTGAATGAGCAAGTAAACATGCTCATTTTCACTTGCGGACGAAGTGACACTGCTTTTTCGATTTTGGTTTGGTTGCGTAAATTTTGTTCCCGCGTTGATTGGTGTCAACTGCAGAAATTTTATCAGGCCCGGTGAGGGCGAGTACGAGTGCAGGGGCCTTGGCATGAGCTCACCATTTGGTTCAAATGGATGGAAGTGGCAGAAATCTAATGCGTTAGCCTGGTAAGATTATGGCATCAGATATGATTAGATGGGAACAGAATGGAACAGAGGTTTCGCATGGTTTCGCTCGTTTGGACCAATGAGTGCAGGCTGGATTCCCCTGCGCCTGGAGTATGCTCCGGAGGAATATCAAAAGGCTCTGCAGGAGGACGGCCATGGAAGCGCTGTGCGATGTTTTGCCAGCCATGGAATCTCCCAAAGGATCCTAAAGGATTTACCAAAGGATCCTAAAGGTATTTGTTGCACATTTTGTTTCATTTTGTTTGCTGCGCCCTCTCCGAATGTGTGGACTTTGGAGGAAGCCGCTGCAGAAGCTGGTAGCTCGATCAGCAACGCCAGCATGAGCATTTTTGCACAGTCGATCGAGATGGGAAGACCATGACCTGTACAGCAACAGGGAATTCCGTCACAGGGACAGGCACTAGCAATCACCTTTACGTTGATTTTTTGACGCTTGCCATGCACACCAATCTTTTCCGTTGCTGTGCCAAGCTAATGTTTCTGCGCGTTGGCGCGGTCACTAGCAGTCACTAGCTTTCAAAATTCTCTCAGCCACTGATATGGGATAGCATATGTCCACTGACCAAGGACGCAATCGCTAGAATTTGCTAGAAGCTAGCAATGATCAACTTGATCTTGCTGGATCTCCTGAGAGCAGTAGATTGGGCCTGGTTTGCAACTCCTTACTTTTCCTTTCAATTTTTCAGCGCTGGGGAAAAGGATCCGACAGGCAGGTCAACCCTGGGAACCTCACCGCAAGATACCTCAACCAGATTCAAGGAGAAAGTTTTGACGATTGTGGACACATGCCCGAATCTGCTTGGTGTTGAGGTCTGAGAAGTTGATGGCATGACCTGAGATCACGGTTGAAGAGGGGAAACGTCAGCGAACAAGCCGCAGCAACAAAAGTATTACATAATCTTGTTAGTATGCAAAGCAGGGCAAGGCATCAAGAGTCACACATGTAAGATGTTGCGAGGATCGCTAAGGTACATGGCTGCAGGATCCTCCGCTGCTTCGTTGAGCAAATTTTACTTGGAAGAGGAGGCGGCCTACCGGGCCTATATGCCCTAATCATCCTCGATCCCGTATTCTACGAGTGTATTCACAAAAATCGGCTTCGGTGGTATCCCCAACAGCCGCAACGATTATTTTTGCAAATCTATCCAAAACACAGCATCGAGGCAAAACTGCAAGTTAAATCGGCATGATCAAAACAAATCTTAAGAAAGACTCAGTAAAGCACAATTATGCTCTAATGACATCCATGTATGCCGTGTGCACATGCATGAAAACAAAAAGAAGAAAAGCAAACTTCTCCGGAGCCTTCTGTGAAACCTTCTCCGGAACCTGTTGAACCTGACCTGGCCCTGCACCAAAGATTCCCAAGACCTTCTCCGGAACCTTCTCCGGAGCCTTCTCCGGACCCCTGTCGAACTTGACCTCGCTCTGCACCAAAGCCTCCCAGACCTTCTCCGCGGAACCTTCTCCGGAACCTTCTCCGACCCCTGTTGAACCCAACCTGGCTCTGCACCAAAGCCTCCCAGACCTTCTCCGCGGAACCTTCTCCGGAACCCTGTTGAACCTGACCTGTCTCTGCATCAAAGCCTGCCGGAACCTTCTCCGGGACCTTTTAACTTGGCTCCGCGCCAAAACCTCCCACACCTCCGGAACCTTTCCGGAACCCTGTTGAACTTGACCTGGCTCTGCACCAAAGACTTCCAGACCTTCTCCGGAACCTTCTCCGGAACCCTGTTGAACCTGACCTGGCTCTGCACCAAAGCCTCCCAGGCCTTCTCCGGAACATTCTCCGGAACCCGTTGAATCTGATTTGGCTTTGCACCAAGGCTTCCTGGAACCTTCTGCTGAACATTCTCCGGAACCCTGTTGAACATGACCTGGCTCTGCACAAAAGCCTCCCCGACCTTCTTCGGAACCTTCTCCGGAACCGGAACCTTCTCCGGAACCTTGTTGAACCTGACCTGGCTCTGCATCAAAGCTTCCCGGAACCTTCTCCGGAACCCTGTTGAACTTGACTTGGCTCTGCACCAAAGGCTCCCCGACCTTCTCCGGAACTTTCTCTGGAACCTTCTCCGGACCCCTGTTGAACTTGACTTGGCTTTGCACCAAGGCTTCCTGGAACCTTCTCTGGAACCCTGTTGAACCTGACCTGGCTCTGCATCAAAGCTTCCGAACCTTCTCCGGAACCTTCTCCGGAACCCTGTTGAACCTGACTTGGCTTTGCACCAAGGCTCCGGAACCTTGTCTGGAACCCTGTTGAACCTGATCTGGCTCTGCACCAAAGCCTCCCAGACCTTCTCCAGAACCTTCTCCGGAACCTTCTTCGGAGCCCTGTACCTGACACCAAAGCCTCCCAGACCTTCTCCGGAACCTTCTCCGGAATCCTGTTGAACCTGATCCGGCTCTGCACCAAAGCCTCCCAGACCTTCTCCGGAACCTTCGGAACCTTCTCCGGAACCTCGTTGAACTTGACCCGGCGCCCGCACCAGTGTACACTGGAGCTATTCTGGGCTGAAGACCCCATTAGCTTACGCTGTTGGGGAAAAAGATAGACAAAGTGGATTGACTGCAGGTGATTACAGATATCATAGCACCTCAAATCTATCAAAGGGGTTGACAAATCCAGATCCTCCAACTTCAGCCGGCCATGTGACCCGTGCCGTTTCTTTGAGCCATGGCAGATACGGACTTTGGCTTTGTACCATCAGGAGAGGGTGTAGGCCCTGGCTTTGGTGACATGTCCTTCAGTACAGAACCTGAGAACTCAAGCTTCGAAGTTTCTGGTGATGGCTTCGGTTTCGGCACGGCAAATTCTGATGCCTGGTTCGTCCAAGGGCCTGGGGAAGATCCAGGCTTTGAAATGGATCGTGAAAAGAAAAAGAAAAAAAAGAAGAGCAAGCAGCCCAAAGAAAACGACGAGAGCCAAGGAAGTCCTGATGGAATGCAATCTGAGGGCAGCCAAAACAATGGTGCCTTGGAGCCTGGGGAGTTGAGTGGATATGATTTTCCACCGGTCAGCAGTGCTCGAAAGGTGAGCTTCAGCCAAGATCCACCTGAGTCCAGAACGTTCGGGAACTTTGACTTTGCCGACAAAGTGGCAAGTGCTGCAGCATCGCCTTGGGAGAACTTTTCTCGGGACGAGGTCTTTGAAGCAAGTCAGGCCGCAGATGCCAAAACCCAAAGGTTTTCAGAGCGCTGCTCTCAATGTCGACGAGCATTTGAGCTCACAGACACTTGACGGCAAAGGATGTTGGATGTTCCATGCTGTTCATTACAATTAGATCGCACGCGCACACACACACATAATTACATATATTGTATATGTAAAACATGTAAATGAATAAATGAATATAAGTATAAACATAAAAACATCGAATTTTAATGTGTGAATAACAAAAGTGAACAAAGAAATACATAAATGCATAAATACATAAATACCTGTAAATATAAATGCAAATGTAGATATAAACATGTCAGTATAAATATAAATGAATGATATATATATATATATATCATTGAATAATAAGTGTATATGTACATATATATAAATATATTAAAAAAGCATGCATATGTTTTGATAAAAGGCAGAAAAGTTACCTACCTATGTATCCTATATAAATATCTGTGTGTGAATGTAACTATGCATGTATGTAATGTAATGTAATGGAATGGAATGTAATGTAATGTAATGCAATGTATGTATGTAATGTATGTAATGTATGTAATGTATGTACTGCATGTAATGTATGTAATGTATGTATGTATGTATGTAATGTAATGTAATGTAATGTAATGTAATGTAATGTAATGTAATGTAATGTAATGTATGTAATGTATGTAATGTATGCAATGTATGTAATGCATGTATGTATGTAATGTAATGGAATGTAATGGAATGGAATGCATAGTATGTAATGTAATGTATGTATGTATGTAATGTCATGCCATGCCATGTCATGTCATGTAATGTAATGTAATGTAATGTATGTAATGTATGTAATGCATGTAATGTATGCAATTTATGTAATGTATGTAATGTATGTAATGTATGCAATGTATGTAATGTATGTAATGTATGTGATGTATGTAATGTATGTAATGTATGTAATGTATGTAATGTATGTAATGTATGTAATGTATGTAATGTATGTATGTAATGTAATGTGATGTAATGTAATGTATTATAATGTAGTTATGTATGTATGTATGTATGTATGTATGGATGTATGTTTGATGTATGTATGTAATGTAATGTAATGTAATGTAACGTAATGTAATGTAATGTCATGTATGCGTGCATGCATGCATGCATGCATGCATGCATGTATGTAATGTATGTAATGTATGTATGTATGTGAGTATGTATGTTTGTATGTATGTATGGTAATGTAATGTAATGTAATGTAATGTAATGTAATGTAATGTAATGTAATGCATGTAATGTATGCAATGTATGTAATGTATGTACTGCATGTAATGTATGTAATGTAATGTAATGTATGTATGTATGCAATGTATGTATGTAATGAATGTATGTAATGTAATGTAATGTATGTAATGTATGTAATGTATGTAATGTATGTAATGTATGCAATGTATGTAATGTATGTATGTATGTAATGTAATGTAATGGAATGTAATGGAATGTAATGCATAGTATGTAATGTAATGTATGTATGTAATGTAATGTAATGTCATGCCATGCCATGTCATGTCATGTAATGTAATGTAATGTATGTATGTAAGTAATGCATGTAATGTATGCAATTTATGTAATGTATGTAATGTATGCAATGTATGTAATGTATGTAATGTATGTAATGTATGTGATGTATGTAATGTATGTAATGTATGTAATGCATGTAATGTATGTAATGCATGTAATGTATGCAATTTATGTAATGTATGCAATGTATGTAATGTATGCAATGTATGTAATGTATGTAATGTATGTAATGTATGTAATGTATGTAATGTATGTAATGTATGTAATGTATGTATGTAATGTAATGTGATGTAATGTAATGTAATGTAATATAATGTAATTATGTATGTATGTATGTATGGATGTATGTTTGATGTATGTATGTAATGTAATGCAATGTAACGTAATGTAACGTCTTGTAACATAACGTAGTGTAATGTAATGTCATGTAATGTAACGTAGGCTATATGGTATGCAATGTTATATAATGTAATGCAACGTAATTTAATGTAATGTAATGTATGTATCTATGTATCTGCCTACTTGGTGAAAGATCATCAAACTAGCATGGTGAGGCCAGGGGGCTCTAAACAAAATTTAAGTCACAAGGACCTTCGCCACCTTGAAGCGCCTGATCGCCTAGGACTCCATCTACTGCCGGCATTGTGGCTGCAAAAGGGCTGGCCGGGCCATGCCACGCAGTGCCAGGAGCCTCCTGGGATTGGAGACCGGTGGCTTTGACGGAGCCAGTGCTGGTTTCGGTGAGCACTTTGATGAGCCAAAGCCAATTGAAAGACAATTTTCTTTCTCGCTTTCTGACCTGCCAGATTCACAAATTCGTGTTGCAGGTCCGGCTTCTCACTATGGCATTGACGGTGGACGCGAAAGCTTGGACATGCAAAAATGGAATCCTTTAGATGGGATCAGGAGGCATTGGGGCCCAACTGACGTGGAGTTTCAGCAATTGGTTGGGAGTTCTGCAACTGCTGCCATAGCTGCACATGGTCATCCAGCATCGCTGCAGATGCTCGGAAGCCTCAATGAAGCGCAGAAAGCAGAGGTTAGAGCAATGGAAATGAGGAAGAAGATATCTCAGCTCGAGGCATCACTCGGAGGGCACAGCACTGCGGGACACGTGGCCATCACAGCTCCTAACTGCCATGATGGGTTGGGTATAATATTGAATGACCTCACAGTCAGTCATGTCACGGACCCGCTGGCAAAACAAGCCGGCTGGGCAGTTGGTGATAGCATTCTCAAGGTGAACGGCACAACAGTTCTTCATTCCAACCAACTCTCTACTGAATTGGCCAAAGCAATGAGTGCTAGCAGAGCCGTTGGAAGGCCAATACTCATCGATGTTTGGCGGCATCCCAACAACTTGCCATCGCCGGGGAACTCCTTGTTGAACCCGCCAGTCGCTCCATCTAGAAGCTACCTGAACCACCAAGGCAAGATGCCAGAGGCATACCATGGCAAGGTGCCAGGGGCATACCATGGCCGGAATGGCGTTGGCAGCTTCCCCCAACCTCCCCAAGCCCCTGCGCCAACGGAACCCGTAACGAGCCAACACCAAGGCTGGACGGGGCCGAAAATGGTTTCACCGGCTCCCCAAAGTTGGACCGGTCCACACCAGGTGTCAACTGATGCGCCACCCAATTCCTGTGTTATTGCTTGAGATGCAACCATCCAAAACTCGGCTCCATGTCTCACGAAGGTACATGAAGAGTCAAGGGTGTTTTGCTGAAAGGCATCAAATCATCATGAATGAAAAGAAGTCATACAATCGTCAACTTTCACGTTTCTCGCAGACAAAGTCCAGTGCGAAGACATACCATTCACACACACAAACACATTCATATACAGATACATACATATACTATGCACGCGAATCAGAATTACTGCAAGTGATTGCACCTGATGCATATTTTTTTTTGGATTGCCCATGGCTAGTTCCTTTGAGCTTCTGCGGAAAGGAAAGAATACGAAAGAGCTGGGTTTAGAAATGTTGTATAATTTCGATCGGAGAAAATCAATGTCTTAATTGCACGGTTGCGCCGTTGCTCTTGTGACTCTTGTGATAAAGTGCGCGCCGCCAGCCAAAGCCAGATCCAATGTCCATAGCTCCACGGCCGCCGTCCGAATCCAAACCAAAGGGAGCGCCTCATGGCCTGCCAGCAAATTTGCCCAAAAACTGGTGGTGGCTAGCCTGCAGCTACTTCGCTTGGGCAAGTTCCAGGGTGTGGGACACAGTATGCTAAAACATGCTAAATGCATCTAAACGGCTAAATGCCGTGGTCTTGCTTTCAAATCAGCATACTTAAATAGTCTTAGATATACTTGGCGTGAGTACTGGCATGGGTCCTTTTGGTATTGTCGCCGAGGGCTCGCAGGGTGCGGGTCAGTGCCCTCCAGCGGAAAGTGGCATACCTGGCCTTGAAGGCAAAGTGGAAGTGGAATGAGGCACTTCTGGGCACCCTGTTGAACATGTTTGCGTGTTTGTTTGCTTGCTTGCTTGCTTGCCTGCCTGTTTGTTTGTTTGTTGGTTGGTTGGTTTGTTTGTGTGAAATATGCACTTTTTTCCCACGTGACTTTACCATGCCAAGTGCTTCAATGTACTTTGGCTCAAGCACTATACTTTGGTATCAGCAGAGGGCAGAAAAGACTTTGAGCTTGTGGGACTTGTGTGACCTACTTTAGGGTAGCTAGTCAGTCACCTTGTTTGCTCAGTAGTGTCAGAGCCTGCTACTTTCGCAGTTCGGCAGGCGGAGCTTAAAAGAGCCCAGGAAACTTTAGTAGACCAATGGCGCTTGAGTGTGGAGAGTTTGACTTTGCGGGGAAGATTCGTCTTCCGCTGCCCAAGACTTTCTTTGGAACACCTGCAGGTTGGGAAGAGTCTCACTGTGAATTTGGACACAGGAGATGTGGACAATTTGGGAACCCAGGCAGCTAACAACTTTAGCAGAAAGTTGCACTACTTGCTTGCAAATCTGACGACCGATTCTGCGACAGAGCTTTGATTCCAATGGGTTTGAAACATGGAGACTTCTGCACCAAAAGTTCGCACTTCCAGGTGCAACCAGGCATGTCTCACTTTGGACTCAGCTACTGGATTTTAAGTTCAATCCTGCCACTTTTGAATCTGACTTCAATACTTGGGAAACCATTAGGAACCGGTATGAACAACAAGTCGGTACACCACTTCCCGATGGCGTATTGGTAGCCACTGTGCTGAACAAGACCACAGGAGCACTTCAGCAACACCTTCGTCTCAACGCTAGGACTTTGCAGACGTACCAGCAGACGCGAGACACTATCGTAGAGCACTTTAGCTCCAACTCATTCTAGGAGCAAACAGCAAAGGTAAGAACGGAAAAAGGAAGAGGGTACCACTGGAACTTTGCCAAACAAGGAGAAAATAAAGGAAAAGGTGCAGGACCTTCGGGTCAGAAAGGATCTTCGGGTCAGAAAGGATCTTCGGGCCTTCGGGTCCTCAAGGAAAACAGTGTTGGAAATGTGGTGGGTTTGGCCACTTCGAGAATGCTTGCCCTTCAGGAAGGGTGAATGCAATTGAAGCAGAAAACTTTCAACAGACATGGTCAGAAGATGATTGGACGTCATGGAAACCTAGCTGGGAAGACTGTGACGAAGACTGGACTGTGAATGCTGTGTATGATGGAAGTTGGGACTTTCAGGACTGTTCATATGATGAATGAATGATGGTATGACAATTCTTGGGGCGACAGTTGGGGCTGGTATTCGTATCAGGAACCACTTTGGAACTTTCAGGAACTGTCTGCAGGATCTGGCACTAAGGCAACTTTGGAGCAAGCTTCGGCTAGTTCCTCTGCTGCAGGAACTGTTCAGACTTCGCAGTCACCACTTCCTCCACAAGGATCTGTTTCGGCAGTGACTTCACAGCCGTCCAAAACTTTGACCTCGAGGACGCCTTCGGCTAAGAACTCGCCCATGGCCAACGTTGCACTTTTTGCAGCTGTGATGATGAGTGCGGTCTCACCAAGTTCGTCACTTTTACTTGATGACATGTACTCCGGAGTCGTTGACTTTCGTATGCCTGTTTCACAGTTTCATTTTAAGAATGAACTTGTGATGTCACCTGTGGTCACTTTCATGAATAAAACGGTTCATGAACAGAGGTCGGGGACGTTAGACCAGCTTGGCATGGAGTTGAATACCACTTGGTAGCATCAACAACTTTGGATGCTGACCATTGGATTCTTTTTGACAGTGGACAGTGGTGCTTCAGCCAATTGCTGCCCAAAGAACTTTGGGAAAGAATGGTCACTTTTACCGTTAAACGGTGAACCTCCACCTTTGAGAAGCACCAGTGGGCAACCTCTACATGTGTATGGCCGTCGTTTGATTCGTATGACTTTGGATGGTGTTCCTGTATGTTTTTACTTATGTGTGTGATGTTCCTTATCCCGTGATTTCTGTTGCAAGGTTACTTTTGCAGGGATACAAGGTGAATGTGGACTCCCCTGACACATGTACTTTGAGAACACCTGATGGACAAGAAGCCAGGGTTGTTCGTCAAGGTTCACTTTTGTTCCTGTGCTCTGAACCTGAACCATTCAACGAATATGACTTTGCACCTTTGTGCAATGAATTTCATGCTCAGTTCAAGTCTGAGGTTCCTGCTGGTTTGCCGGCAACTTTTAACCCAGTGTACCATCATGCTGATCGATGGGTTTTGAAGGACAATATGTTGATTCGGCTTCATCCTCGTGCCAGAAAGACATTTTTTGTTGCAAATGGCATGCAGGATCGGCCTGTCCCTGTTGAAGACTTGGCCTCGCGTCGAGTCACAGACATCGAACTTGCGGATGGGACCAAGCGGACTTTCACCGACAATTGGCGAACTTCTGATGATCCATGCGCAAGGGTTGACGCTTTCAAAGGTCGAACCATTTTACTTTGAATTCAAGGCCCACAGGAAGTCGTTTGTCGATGAAAACTTCCACTTTGCCACACCCACAGCAGCTCAGCAACAAAGACAGAGAGATGGAAAAATGTCGACTCTTCTTCGCGACCGTCAAGGCCACTTTCGGTTGAAGACACGTTCGTTGCCAAGTTGGACAAGGCAAAAGAAGGAACGTTGGAGGACTTTAAGTCTCTTGTCTTACAAGCAGTTTCTGACATGGACCCTGTGACTTCTCAGCAGTACGTTCATGACCGTTGGTTGGACTTTCCTGCCTCGTACGTCGTGTGCACCATGAGACGCGTAGAAGTTTGTATGCGCCACCTGAGGATCAAGGTCTTGCCTGTCATGACATTGAGGAGGCACGCATGACTTTGATTATCACTGATGATGGTGTCACTTCATGGGTTCATGACCATTGGCCTGAGCGTGGTGAACTTGAGTTGGACAGAACTTTTGTTGGCGCGGCATGTTTTTTTTGGCAAAGTTGACTAGTACTTTGATGATGATCTTGTTCCTGCTGTTGACGATACTTTGGCGCAGAAAGAAAAACGTGCGAAAGCACCAGGTGAACCATCAGAATTTGAGGTGATGGAACATAATTTGACCCATCTACATTTCAGGAGCTGGTGCAAGATCTGCGTCCAATCAAAGTCAAAGCAGAACCCGAGCAGGACTTTGAAGTCTGGCCAACCAGTTCTTCAAAAGGACTATTCGTTCATTGGGGACAAACCTGGCGAGCCACAAATCACTTGTTTGAACGTTGTGGATGTCATGAGTGGCTTGGCGCTTTCAGTTGTTGTTCCTTGCAAAGGTCGTTCGAGTCGTTCAGTGTACGCGCAGGCAGAACTGCGGCGCTTTGTCTTGGAAACTGGAAGGACTTTCGGTATCTTGCAAGCGACTGGTACAGACTGTGACTGGCCAAGTTGGAGGACTTTCTTACCGAAGTTCACCAACAGGATGGAAACAAGCACAGCAGTCTGTTGGAAATATGCAGGCCACTTTGTACGCTCAGATTCACGATTGCCGATGTCAAGTCCAGGTACGGAGACGTTGACATCTCCGTGCATAGTCCACTGTGTCCATGGCGTCTCCGACATGCACAGTGGTTGATCAACAGATACTTGCAAGAATCTGCTGGGTTGACCGCTTACGAGCGACGATGGAACCGAAAATACCATGGTTCCATTTGCAACTTTGGTGAGACGTTGACGCTTCGTGTTGCGAATGTCGGAAAGACTCAACTTTCATGACGTGATGGAATCTGGCTTGGACGTGATACACAGATTAGCAGTGTCTGGAGGGGCAATGGTCACCTAAAGGCTTTCGCATCATGGTGAGGAGAAAGAACAAGGCCAAGGAAGTGGCAATGAGAAGAGGTTTAAGAAACCTTGGATAGTCGTCAGAGGGCACACCTACCTGACCAGTCTGCGGCCAGACATGAGACCTTTCCTAACCGGTAGAGACGGGGGAGCAGAGCATGAGAGAATGTTAGTTCAACTAAGGGCCAATCGCCATACGGAAATAGAGGACCGGGGTTGTTTTAGAGAGATGCAGCTGTGGTGAACATTACCGCCATGCTGTAGACATGTTTACATGGGAACACTGTCACACAGAAGGAGAATACAGTGAGCTCACTTGAGCCAATAGTAGTACTTCAGATAAGTATACACTTGAAGTCTTGCACATGTGGTATTGTGGCAGCACTGCTACATACATCCGACAGCTACAGTTGCAGGAAAACAGTGTCCTCTACATCCCATATTCTGGGCAAAATCAATATTTTAGCCTTATGCTGTCGCCAGGGCTTGGGTATCTAACCTGCCCGATCCCAATAACACCAGGCTAGTTTGCTGGTATTTCATCAGGCAAAAATCATCCAGAGGATGTGCAGTGCACAGCATGGATATACGTGCACACAGCTCAAAGCTTTACCTGGTGTCTACACCGGAAAAATGTGAGTACTACTGAAGCCGCAAGGGCTACAGTGATGCTGTTGGTTAGCTTCGTTGTCCCTGTCAGTCCGAGTGAGGAAACACATTTTCCCGGACGTCACGTAGCTCTTCGTCAGTATCATCGTTTAAGTCCCGGAAACTTCTGGTTGGGGCAAAGAGCTCTCTCTGTGCATCATTAAGGTGACGCATGAGCTTCGCCTTGTAGTCAGCCATCATGTTCAAGAGTGCCACCTGCTCTCGACAGAGCTCTTCTAACTTGTATCGCGGTGGTCTGGCCACGCTTGGGAGCTGGAGGGCTTGCTGTGTCGCCTTGAGCAACAGATCGTGAGCACTCTGCAGGTTTTCTATTGTTGCACAGCATAATACGTAGTGCTGGATGGCCTTCTGAACATGTGTAAGGCGGTCATCATCCATGGCTGGTTGAGGTCTGCCTATGTAAACTCTAGCTAACTAGCTTCTACGTCTCTCTAGCCAGTACCCAAATCAGATTGAACAGCACTTCAGGTGAAAGAGATAGCAGCACCAGCAACTGTTACACAGGAAGTCAGGGCTGGACCAACTGAATGAAGATGAAGTGAAAGCCACGCAAATGTGGGTGTTTTGCTGTGCTCTGGTGACATCATTTGAGCCAGAAAACAGCTGGGAAGAGTTCCACGCAGTGCACACTTCATATTGACCAAGACATGCTAACAACTCCCAGGTGTGGCAGGCATGTTGGCAGATCCTTGTTATAAGCTGTGGGATGTCTCCAGGATTAGTTTCACAGGGTTTGCTTGTATGTCACTCTGCAATACTGCGGGAGACAAAGTATGGGATTGTGCAGGCCGCCTGTTTTCTTCTGATGGCTAGTGCCAGGTGGGAGGCAGTGTAGTGTGTCTCTTCCTACACTTCCAACATCCGACGACCACGTCATTGATTTTTCCGGTCAACGAATAATTTGCCGTGCTGAGCCGTTATTCGTGAGGTTGTTTCCTCCGGCGTTTTCAAGACCAGGAGTATCCGGCAGAACATCCCGTCAAGACAATCGAGCTTGGAACTTTTGCAAAGCATCACAGCCACACGTTGCAAAGCATCACAGCCACATCTTGGGATCCCATTGGTTCCAAGCGTGAAACAGGTGCTTTCATACTTCCAGTTTCCAAGGATGATCCTCAGCCATTGTCGGAGGGAGCGTCCAAGGAAGACTTTGTTGCAGAAGAGCCTCTGGACGATTACGTAGAGCCAGAGAGCCCACTTCCTGATGACTCAGTTGAAGGGAGCGAAGTGGCACTTCCGTCGCCATCACTTTTTTCGCCGTCACGTGTTCGCAGGCATGATGAAGTTTCTCCTGATGATGGGGACTTTAAGTCTCGCCCGCCTTGGTCCTTCTGCAACCTTGGAACGTAAGCAAAAAAAATGAACCGGAAGAAGCTGGACCTGGTTCCAAGATCCAGCGACTTTCGTGTGTGCTCCCTGTTGCAGCTGTGACCGGAATTGACTTTCCATCACATTCATGGTTGTTCCAAAAGTCTTGGACTTACGACTATCGGATTTCATCTGTTGACACCAAGCATGGACTCGAAGTTCCTGTTTCGGTGAACCAAGATGAAAAAGAACTTTTGCTGACAAAGAGCTTGGAGAACCCTTTCCTTTGGTACGAAGCCGAGTTACTGAGGTCGCTGGCATGAAGAAAGAGATGGAATCCATGGTTAGCTTTGATGTCTTTTCAGAAGTGCCGTGCCTGTGAAGAATTTGAGCGAACACGAACTTTCTCATGCAATCCCCTCTCGTTGGGTGAAGACTCGCAAGCCGGACGGCGCAGTGCGTTGCAGTTTTGATCAGGTGGTTGATGACCCTGATCAGACTTTTGCAAGCACCCCAAGTCTCACGACTTTGAAGCTTCTTTTGACACTTTCAGTTGCATTTGGATGGGATGTTTCAACTGGACACATCTCCGCTGCTTTTCTGCATGCCTTGATCACAGGTGAAGACATTTATGTCACTCCACCTGCTGAATACTATCCGGATCAGAACGTGGTCTGGAAGCTGCAGCTGAAGCGTGCACCTTGCGGCTTGAAGAGTTCCCCAAGACTTTGGCAAGACCACTTGCGACTGTTATGAAGAAGCTCAACTTTAGCCGTATGAAGAGTGATCCGAACTTGTATGTCCACAACCAGAAAAGACTTTATGTCTTGACAGATGTGGATGACCTCATGTTTGTCGGCAGCCGTCCAGACATTGACGTTCTTGCCAATGACATGAGGAAAGAACTTTTGTTGAAGATCGCGGGCCAGCTTGGTGAAGGTCAAGAGGTTCACTTTCTTGGCCGTGACATTCGGCGAACTTCTGAAGCAATTGAACTTTCAATGAGCCCGACCTTCGTTGAGAAGATCCTTGAAACTTTGGGAATGCAGAACTGTCGCTCAGGTGTAGACACTTTGAAGAAAGTGACTGACGCAGAGCAAGTGTCTCCAGAAACGCACAAACTTTACAGAAGAGTTGTTGGTCAGCAACTTTGGCTGTCAAATTTGAGGCGTGACATCATGTATGCAGCCAGAGAACTTTCAAAAAGGATTAACTGGACCAACAGGCGACCACTTTTCCAAACTGAAACACCTTGCAAAATATCTTTCAGGAACCAAAAACTTTTGTTCAGCAACTTCGCCCACATGTGAAATTTCCGCCCCAGCACAAGGGTATCGATATAAACTGTTACGTAGGCAGCGACTGGGCTGGAGACCCAGATTCACGGAAGAGTACTTCCGGCGCGTCACTTTTCGTGTCGGGCGCAAACATCACAGCACACAGCAGAACACAGCAGTCTGTGGGGCTGAGCTTTATGCTATTGGTGGTGGTGTAGCTGAATTTCTGTTCGTTCGTAGCCTGGTCACTGAATCTAGACTTTTCCAAAAAGACAACATTTGTGTTTTTACGGATTCAACTGCTGGCAAATCCATGGCGGGACGTTTCGGAACCTCGAAAAACAGAACGCGTTGAACTTAGGTACTTGTATGTTCAAGAACTTGTTCAGTCTGGTTTGATTCGTTTATGTAAGGTTCTAGGAACTTTGAACCCCGCAGATATCCTCACAAAATATGTTGGTAAAGACACTTTGTCTAGACGCTTAGGAACTTTGGGTCTCATCCCCAAATAATTTATGCGAACTTGCGAACTTTAATCAAAGACTTGGTTAAGCATGGACTTTATAACTGCAAACCCTTGGTTGGAAGCAGAAGTTTTCATGTGCCCATTCACACTTTCCACTGGAACTTTGAAGTCATCGAACTTTCTCACTTCTCAGGGAATACTTTGTGTGAACACCGCTGCCGTTTCTCTCAAGGCCAATTTTGTGAACTTTGCCGTGCCACGCGCTCTCATTGCGCGCAAACCCACTTTGATGAATCTGGGAACTTTGACACTATACACCGGATCCACCTTTGTGTGGTAATTTGGTGAACTTTTTCTACTTTACACTTCATACCGCGCAGTGCTTACTTTGAGGTGAGACATGGGAAGAGAACCTACGGTCTTGACTTTGAAAGGATGTCTCTCTTGAACTTTTCCGACTACAGACGTTGGATTCATGTGAACGACTTTCGAGAGGCCGTTCTTCACGGAGCACAGCTCGAACAGCTGTGGCACCGTGGTGCAAACTTTTCTGAATGCCTTGAATGCGTACGGTCAGGGACTTGGAAAGCTAGACTATTTCCACAGTTGGCGGATAGAACTTGCTACACTTTTTTGGAAATGCAGCTTGTTAATAGAACCTTGGCACACTTTCCGTTTGCGCAGCTGCGTACTGCAGAAACTTTTGGAGCTGAAATATCTGCAGTTGCACTTTGGATCACTGTGCCTGCGCCTTACTTTGCGCAGATGGTCTCGGCTTTAAGTCAAGGTGGAAGCTGGCAACTTTCAGCGCACAATTTGCGTTTTGGAGATCGCCAACACATGAACTTTTGTTACAGTCCACGTAGTTCTGTACTTTGGTACATTTTTCAATTGAGCATTGGCCAGATTCAAGGAGAGCATTTTGGCCAGGAGTACTTTGTGAGACCAATCACTTTTTCTCTGCGCCTTAGCACAGCAGACTTTGAGGCCAGTGCGCACAACTGGAACAGGTACTACGTTGACTTTTTCACGTACCTGGCACCAGAGTTTGTTTTGAGTCCTAGGCACACTTTCACTTTGAAGTCTATGGTTGTGCTGACTCACGGCTTTAATTTGCAAACCCTGCTGACTGTTTTCACTCATGTCAGATCAGGATGGTATCCAGCACTTTGCATGTTGATGCGCATTCCCATTGGCAAGCAGCAGTATGACTTTGCCACTCAACCTAGCTATGGGAGTGAGCCTCCATGGCAGATACTCTTGAGCATTTCCCGTGCAAAACTTTGAAGTCTGACATTGCTTCGGATGACTTTTCAGTTGAACGTACATGATGCTCCTTGGAACTTTTCAATCAATGGACAGATGCACATGTACTTTGGCCACTTTTTCATTTCAAATTGGCTGACATCTTTGAGGTCACTTTTAATTAATCTCTAAGACTGGCGCCAGATCAAAACCAACTTTTGGGTCCTCAACTTCTCTCAGGTGTATGCATGAAGACTTGTAGCGTTGACACCTGTGTGTCTCGATGGACCTGCGTCCCACTTTGAAAAAGGACGATGGTGGTGTGATCTAACTTTGACTTTACAGGCTTGGGTCATATACTTTGAGCTTGATCATATATAATTCAATGTGAACTACAGTACTCTCGTACTCTGTTCAAGGGAGTGTGTGAAATATGCACTTTTCTCCCACGTCACTTTACCATGCCAAGTACTTCAATGTACTTTGGCTCAAGCACGATACTTTGGTATCAGCAGAGGACAGAAAAGACTTTGAGCTTGTGGGACTTGTGTGACCTACTTTAGGGTAGCTAATCACCTTGTTTGAGCCTGCTACTTTCGCAGTTGGGCATGGGCTTGTTCCAAGCAGAGGGGTCACTGACCAAGACTTCTAGTTTTTTGTTCATAGAATGTCCGGATCTTGCTGACTCTTTGAGTTCTTTGCATATGTTTGCTCGCCTATCATGCAGGTGGAGAACATTTGCCAGCGATTGACAGAAGAATGGCAGCGGCCACCATTGATCGCCCTTTTGCTTCCGGCCACTGCCTGTGAATCAGCCTGGCCTGCTCTGGAAGGGCTGTCAGACAAAGTAGTGATGCTTGGATACGCTGGGGGTCAGGTGGTGTCAATGTATATATATATATATTGCGTGACATTCATAAAATTAATTGACATCATATACACTATATGTCAACCATTGCATCATTATGAGACTGTTGTTGAAGGGCTTCGTCCCAAATCCAATCGTATTGTAATTTCCATCGCTTGCGATTCCTCGGCGCTGCGACTCAGAGGTGGCGGAACTTGTGTTGTGGCAGGTCTTGTCATGTCTTTTTCCAACTCCTGTCCCTATTCAACTTGATGTCAGTTGCACACTGGGAGCCTTTGTTGATCTTTGTTGCTGTGATGGTGCCCAGTCTTCGTGGTTTCTTGTTTGTTGCCAAGATTCGCCAAGTCTCCCTATTGTGATGTCACGCTTTTGTTGCCATGGTGCTTTGTTTCGTGTGATTTACAGCTACGTTGCTTTGTTTTGGGTCTGGTCGTGCGTTACGAGCCTCTTTCCATGCTTTTCTGCTTGGTATGGCTGTTTATGTGCATTTTCCTCCACGCCTGTCTCGCGAGAGAGGTGGGGAGGTGCGGTGGGTGGGGCCAATAATGTTCTCTTCCCCTGAGTGCTGATAAAATCACTTGACGCCTTGACGCTACATTCTCACCTTCCTGAAGCAACTGCAACACGCTCTTGAACACGCTCTTGATGCTACGTGCGCTCTCAGTATATTCTTAGAACTTGAAACACACTCTTCATGCTACGCTCTTGCCCCTCTCTTGGAAAATCATGTAGGTTTCTCTTGCATCCTGCTTGCAGTGTCTTGGTTATGTTTCAGTGCTGCTGCTTTTCTTTACGTGCAAGTTGTGATGTCCTACCAGTGCCCATGTCACATTAATGGCCTTTGATGTTAAGGATGGTCTTGGTCAGTCATGTCCACGTGCATATGCACCTACATTCCAGTTGTGGCCAGCATGGTCCTCCGTTGTTCAGTTGTCGCCTGAATATGTTCGCATCATTTTTACCTTCCCCCAGCATCTGATGTCCTGGGCACCTTTTGATGACGCACGTCAATGATATTTTGCTGCACATGAAGAGCAGGTACGTGGTGTGTGTATATCACCAGCGTGTGTTCTGTTTCCCCCTCTGTGTTTTCTTCGGACAGGGCCTTTGTCATTTTTGTTCGCTACCTGCTTGATGGCGTCAGTCAGAATGACCAACTTGTAGGGCATTCCTCGGAGTGTGTTTCGAATTTCGTGATGGCCAAGGCTGCTAATGATTGATGGCAGGTGACGGTGATGGCGACAGTACGACGACCACGACGACCACGACGACCACTACGACGATCACGACGACCACTACGACGACCACGACGACCACGACGACCACGACGAGGAGGAGGACGATGACGATGGCGATGACGATGATGATGGTGATGATGATGGTGATGATGATGATGATGATGATGATGATGGTGTTGATGATTTTGGTGATGATGATGATGATGATGATGATGATGACGGTACAGCAGCTGCTGGTGGCGGTGGTGATGGTGGTGGTGATGGTGGTGGTGCTGGTGCTGGTGATGGTAATGATGACAAGGACGAGGATGACAACGACGAGGATGAAAAAAAAAATATATATATGTACATATTACATGCACCATGTAGTAAACTCTTGTTGATGACCAAAATTATAACGAAAACGCCTGAGATCGTATGGCGCTTCAGATTTCAGATCGATACATGACGTTGCTGGATGAAATGTGGCCATCAGAGACGCTCCAAGGATTGAAGGCTTTGCTGAGACAATCTACTGTGGAGAAGACGTATGCCTATGGGTTCTGAGGCCAACTTGCACCACGGGTCAGCTGGCTTTTGATATCTCATATATATTTATTCATTTTTTCCCTAAGTGTCACTGCAGACTGGCACTGTGAGATCATGGTCAAACATTGAAGCAGGTGGGCTGCTGACAATCTCAGAACTGACCCTCCGGCAATTACCCTCGAACTCTTTGCTTCGACACTCGGCCAGAAGCGGTTCTGCTTCTTCACCCGCATGCGGGAAATTGTTCACATATGCAATGGACCTTAGCAGCCAAGGCATGTAACAGCAGCGATGGCACAGTTTCATCCTCGAGATTCAGGGCCGTTCCTTTGGCCACTCCACGACAAGGACATTGCATCCGCAATTGCCATGTGCGAGTGCTGGCCTCGGGAAAACATCGTAAAAGTTTCTGCTCCCAACCGATTCTCGATTCCAATTGTCCACTGTTTTGACATGTTTTCACTTGAAAGATTTTCATGATTCTGAAAGACATAAAGCGTCATAAAGCCATGCTTTGGCAAAAGTTCGGTTGGAAGGTATGTCGGAGTGGATGCTCCTTGGTGGAGAAAGCTGCTGTGGGCATTGAGAATCGTGCAACCACCAGGCTAGTGTCAAGTTGTGTCAAGTTGTCTTGGTATTGAATGTATTGGGTGTTGGTCCTTTTCCAAATTTCCACTGCAGAGATTTTTGGCACATTGGCAGAGAACTGCAGGTGGCACTGTCTTGGAGGAGTGCATTTTGGACCACTATGGGCGTGAGGCGAGGATATTGTATCATATTCTTTCACTCATGCCACCTAGATCATCCTCGATCACTCAGTCACTCCGAGTCTAAATTGCGACAATAGTTTCTCAGGTTGGCTACGTCTTCGCCTGGGCGAACCTTTTCACGCGAAGCCTGTGGGTCCTGACAGTTCTTTGTTTGTTCTTCTACATTTGCGGGGCTCGAGCACAGCTTGGTGGCTATCAAGGTGTCCTGTGAGGAGCTTAGAGCACAAGCATCAACCACTTGTCACGTTGGATAGACAGTATGTCACGACAGCATCTATCATTATGTGTAATCACGCGGAGGCACATGCAATAAAAAGAAGAGTTAAATATATATATATATATATATACATTTACATATACATATATAAGATTTGTATAAGCATGTATAAGCATATATGCAGACATATATAAGTTTTATATGTTTTATACGTTTTATAAGTTTTTTTTGTTGCTGTTGTTGTGGTATATATACATATATACTGTGCGCACATATGTAAATGAATATTGTTTTTCTCTGTTTGCTCTCACTCATACTCTCCGCGTATAGTGGATGTGTTTCTGTTGTCTCATGTTGTCTCTATGTTTGGCC